CCCCAAAACCCCAAAACCCCAAAACCCCAAAACCCCTCAGGATAAATTTAATAAAATACTGAAAGGTAAGGTAAGTATAAAAATGAAAATTATATTTCTTTATCAATAGTACTGCTTATATAAGGACATATTTCTCTTTAATATATCTTCCATGGGTCCAAGTAACCTTTTGAAGCTGTGACGGTCCAATGCAACAACTTGAAGAGTTGTGATGGCTATGATATTTGCAGCTCTTGGCTCATTTTTCATCAATGCTCTTTCTCCAAAATAATCTCCTGGTCCATAAGAAAATACTTCAACTGGAGCATTTCCTGGCTCTAAAGTCTTGGTTGCAACTGCTTTACCGCTCATTACTAGATAAAATGTTTAGCCTTCTTCACCTTCTCTTATAACAAACTCATCAGGCTTAAACCAATGTTCCTTAAATGCATCTGCTAGCTTTGATCTTTCATACTCATCCATATTAGTCAGAATTTTAACACCCTTTAAAAACTCTTCATACTTGTCTCTTTTCTAGGATGCTGCATCTTTTACTATGTGATTGAAAGTTTATCTATCTAATGACCAGAGCTCAGCCTCAGTTTTTGCCACAATAGTTGCAGCTCTAGGAGCATTATATAAAAGGGAAAGTTCTCCAAATGCTTCGCCAGGATGATATTCCTTAAGGAAAGTTGGTTCAGGGTTACCTTTCTAAAATGATTAAATGAGATAATTGAAACTTACAAAATGTTTTGTGCAGGTTAAAACTCCACTCTCAACCACGTAGAGATTATCTCCATCATCTCCTTCTCTGATAATAACATCTCCTGGCTGCTTTTTGACTTGCTGCATAGCATTCAGAACAATTTAAAGTTCTTGAGGATTGAGACAAGAAAACATGAAAGCTTATTCAAGCCTTTTCTGCAGAGCATCTCTTATTTGATCTGATTTTTCATATTTTGGGGCTTTAAAATCACCCTTCTTATTCCAAGTTCCAAAAACTTCAGCACTGACTGATGATCTTGGTCCTTTCTATTTATTGGCATTGATAACTTATGGTAAATCATCAATATATTCATCTTCATCAGATGGGATCGATTCATTCTCTGATGCATCGTCCTCTACCTAAAATCATGATATTTAATCCACTCCTAATAAAATGCTTACTCCAACCATATCCTTCAGCTTATCTACTTCTTGCCTTAAGAAATCCAGCTCCATTCGCTCATTCTAATTTACTATAAATGTGATGATAAATAACTTATTATGAAATGATTATACTCGTTGTAAAATGTTAATAATGACTTACTTGAAGGTCTATTACCGTAATGATCTTTTAGATATCTAATCATATATTCAATCTATGAGCATAATTATAAAATATTTTTACTGTATCAGGTGGATTCTCTTGGAATATATGATTGACCATAGGCTCAAATATACCTGCTAACTTGTTATCAATGTATGATTTGTTCATTTTTTCTTTTGTGCTCGACATTTTTATTGATTAATTAAGTATAATAGATCCTTTTTTATCTAGATTTATTTTTAATAATTTCTATTCAAAATCTTTGTAAGATCAAAATTACACGGGGTTTTGGGGTTTTGGGG